GAGGGGGCTATCCCTGGGGTTCACCGACTCTAGCTTCAGCTGCACCATGTGCCCCTTCACGGGGTCGTCGAGCTCCGCCTGGATCCTTCCCCACGAACCGCTGCTGACACTCGAGGACCCAGGCGGGGGTGACCACGCGCAGCCTTCCCGAAGTCCAGGTCGACCGCCGCCTCGTGATCGTTCAGCTTCTTGATCAAGGAGTCGACGTCATCCGAGCCCAACGCCGCGCCCTCCCCGCGACGTTGCGGCCCGCGGCCCGCGCCGGGGGGGGGGGGGGGGCGAGATGGCGGCGGCAAGGGCGGTTCGCGGCCGTCGCGAAACTTTTCCTTCATGTCGATCGTCGCCGAAGTCAGCTTCTCCTGGCCCCGCGCCAGATCCGATGACAGTTGCCTGCCATCGGGCCCCCGAACGCGCGGGCATCGTCGCCGCCGCCGCCGTCCACGCTGCTGTCCGCGCCCGCCTCGCTGCCGCCGCTGCCAGGGCCCAGGCGGCCACGCGCGAGGTCGGCCGGGCCCGCCGCGAGACCCGCCGCGCCCGCGCGGGGGGCGCCGCGTGGCAAGGCCTTGCCGCGACTGACCCAGCGCGAAGAAGCGCCAGACCCGCCATCCGACGAGGCCCACCGCCGCCATCGTCCCGCATGCGCGCTGGCCCCAGCCCGCGACGAGCGCGGTCGTCAGCCCACTGAACATCCAGGTGGCAGCCTGCGTCTTCTTGCTATGCTTCATGGCGCTTGTCTTCGACTTCACGCTCGCGGTCCCCGCCCCCTTCAACTTGTTCCTCGTCGTCGGCCGCTCCGACGCGACCAGGGCGGCGCCCCGCAGCTTCTCGGTCGGGCCTGGATATTCCGTCCAGACTGCGCCTTTCTTCAGGCGGGAGCGCGCGAATTTCTTGCCCCGCGCGTAGGCCGCGATCACCCGCTGCGCGGGATCCCCCGCCGCCCGGGCGGTGGACTTGGCCGAGCCGGCGCGGCTCGCCAGCGGCAGCGCGGTGCCCGTCGGCACCCCCTCCTGGCTCATCAGGTAGGCCCTGTTCCAGCGAGCCCACCGCGCCATTGAACTCGCCGGGGCAGCTCGCCGCTCGCTCGCCGCGGCGGCGCCCGCCGGCGTCTCCGGAGGCTCGGACCCGCAGTCCTCCGCCCTATGGTCACCCAACCGCCAGGCGGTGAGGTCGAGCCTCTGCCATTCGCTGGCCGCCGCAGCCAGCGCCAGGGCCCGCGCGATGGGCCCGCCGAAGCGCGCCGACCCGCCGACGCGGCAGCGCCGGGCGGGCCACCCAGGGCTCGAAAGGGCGGCCCTTGAGGCCGCCCCAAAATCCCTTCGAGCCGAAACTGCAGCCAGCAGTATACCAAGCCAAGAGTGAAGCGGCCAAAACTCACACTTCGGGTCAGCCGTGACAGTGCCTCTGTAAAACGCGTAGACTGGGGCGGGGCGCAGGCCTTCAGGCTAGCGGAGGTGCCAGCGCGCGCCGCCCGCGCGGCTTGCCAGAGAGTCAGGCCCCGGATTTCGCCCGCAACGCCGAGGCCGATGACTGGGCCAAGTGGGGCAAAGAGCGTGCTCGCATTCCGCGGGTTGTCAGAGATGCGCTCATGGCCAAGGCGCGCGCGCCGACCGATTTTGCCAAGTGGCGTGCTCGTGTAGGGCCAAGGGTGCGCAACCTAGGCCCCTTGCGCGCGTCGCCTAAGGCGAGGGCCTCTCGTGGGAAGGAGCCCCCCCCCCTGCTCGACGCCCTTCCTCCCCCCCCGCGGTATTCCGAGGGGCCATTGCCAAGGCTGGCTCAGTCTCTGCCCGCGTGGCCGTCGCAGGCGAAGGACAGCGCGTGGCCCGCCCCTTCCAGCTTGCGGACGGTACGCGGTGCGTCGTTTGTCGCCTCTGCGGGCACGCTGGGGCCAAGGTGCCCGCGCGTCTCTCAAGCGCGTGCTTTGGTTCCCCTGCCGCGGCTTCCGCGCGCCGGCCAACCCTGCGAAATCTGCCGCGATGCACTCGGTCAACCAGAAGCGGTTTCCTCCACATCCTAAGAGAGGTTCTTGTTTTCTCTGGACACCCAGTGCAGGGACAGGAACCAGAACCCACCCGCACCATCATCATCATCATCATCATCATCATCATCATCATCATCATCATCATCATCATCATCACCACCACCACCACCATGCGCATTCACACTTACACACACACACACACACAGACACACACGCATTCACACTCACCATCATCATCCGCATCATCATAATCAACCAGCCCCTCACTTACTCACTCACCCACTCATCATGACCACCAGCATCATCTATATCACCCCCACACTCATTCACACTCACAGACGAACACGCCCACACATTCACACAGTCACACACTCATGCATTCATCTTGAGGAAGTCTCAGGCGGGAGCTTCGTCTGTCAGTGATTGCGAGGAAGTCTCAGGCGGGGGGCCCTCCATATGGGGCCCGCATTTCACGTTGGCAATCGGAGCGGGCCATCAAAATCTTGCAACTGTCGCCACTTTGGGGGCCCTCACGCTTGAATTTCGAAGAGGCCTTAGGCAGGCGCCTCGTGTGTGAGCGACTTGCAAGGATACCTCAGGCGGGGGGGCCCTCCTTATGGGGCCCGCATCTCACGTTGGTAATCCGGGCGGGTCATCCAAATCATGCACCTCCCGTCACTTCGGGGCCCCTCACGCTTGAATTTTGGAGAAGCCTCAGGCGGGAGCTTTGTTTATGAATGAATTGCGAGGAGGTCTCAGTTGGGGGCCCGCCCGCATTTCATGTTGGCAATCTGAGCGGGTCATCCAAATTTTAGAACTCTCGTCACTGTTAAGCTCCTCGCGCTAAAATTTTGATGAAGCCTCAGGCGAGGGCTTCGTTTGCGAGCGAATTGCGAGGAAGTCCCAGGCGCCCCCCCCCCCCCGCAATGAGGCCCGCATTTCACGTTGGGTTGTCCGAGTGGGTCATCCAAATCTTGCAACTCTCGTCACTGTTGGACCCCTCACGCCTGAATCTTGAAGAAGCCCCAGGCGGGGGCCCCATCTGACTGCGAGGAAGTCAGGCGGGGGGTGGCCCTCCCTATGGAGCCCGCATCTCACATCAGTAACCCGAGCGGCTCATACGAATTCCTAGACCAGTCGCCAATTTTGGGTTTCCCAGCCATGCTTGAACATCGAGGACGTCTAAGGCGGAGGCCTCGTCTGTGAGTGAGTCGCGAGGGAATCTGGAGGATGGCCCCCCTCGCCATGGGGCCCCGCAGCTCCATGTTAGAATCCAAGCGAATCTTCGGGATCTCATAGCTGTCGTCACCTCTTGGGCCCCTCAGGCACGATGAGTGATGCGAGCCCTCGCGGGCCAATCCGAGCGGGGTCATGTTCTGCATGATTAAGAAGGCAACTCGCTCGGCTGAACCCAGTCCCACGACGCGGCGATGGCGTCGCCATCGACTGCGCCAAGGATTAGGGAACCGATTGCACGGGCATGTCGGACGAGCAGTGGTGGCTGCACTTCTACGTCATGTTATCCCGTGCGGGACATGCTGATCCTGCGGCCGCCCGCGCTAGAGTTCCGGGAGCGCGGGCCGCCGGCGTTCCCGCGGAAGGCGCTCCAGAAGTTCGGCGACGTGGGGGGGAGTTCCAGAACCGAGGCGGAGCAGCTCGCAGCACGGCTGGGCTTCGCGCCGCCCCCTGCATGAGCGCGGCCGCGCCCGCCTCGAGGCCCGCGTGGTTGTTCCATAGGCTTGGCCTGCGGGGTTGCCTCGACGTAGCGCCCCCGCGCCCCAGCGGCCCGCAGGGTTGCCCCAAAGGCATGGCCCGCGGGATTGCCCCAAAGATTTCGCGATCTAGCTGTCGGCGAACGCGCGCGCGCGCTGGCCGAGGTGGCGACGCCGCCGAGGAAAATCGACCTGCTTGCTCCGACCAGGGGAAAGGGGAGGTGCACATGGAGAAGAGGCAGGAGGAGGACGAGAAGGGGGGAAAGGGCATGGGGGAGTTGATGATGAGGAGGAGGTGGAGAAGGAGGAGGAGGAGGAGAAGGAGGAGGAGATTAACTAGAAGGAGGAAGAGAAGGAGGGAGCAGAGCATAGGGCGAGAGGAGGGCGTCCGCCAGGGCGAAGGGGGAAAGGGCTAAGGCCAAGCTAAGCAGATTCTCGTGCGGGGTCCCACCGTCGGAGTAATTATTCAAACCGCCGTGTAGAACGACGGAGTTAACTCGTGCTGGCGAGCCCTGTTCGTTTGGAGTTGCCTCGTGCTTTGTATCTGGAAAGCGCCACCCGCCTGTCTCCACAGGCGGCGGCGCACGTGGCAGTCAGACACCACCCACCCCAGCGGCGTAGGCGGCGAAACTAGTTGTGCGCCACCCACGCCTGCGGGGCGGTGGTGCGAATGGCATGGTGGCGCGACGGCATCATGTTGCGCTCGGGCACGGTCGAGGAGGAGGAGGAAGAGAAGAAAAAGGACGAGGAGGGGAGGAGAAGGAGGAGGAGGAGGAAGAAGAAGAGGGGGAGGAGGAGGACGACGACGACGAGAAAGAGGAGGAGGAGGACGAAAAGGAGGAGGAGGAGGAGGAAGAGCAGGAGCCTCAGCAGGAGCAGGAGGGATGATGATGATGATGATGATGATGATGATGACGATGATGATGATGATGATGATGATGATGATGATGATGATGCTGATGATGATGATGATGATGATGATGATGATGATGATGATGATGATGATGATGATGATGATGGTGATGGTGATGGTGATGATGGTGATGGTGATGGATGGTGATGATGAGGAGGAGGAGGAGGAGGAGGAGGAGGTGGAGGAATATGAAGAGGAAACAGGGGGGCGGGGGGGCGGGGAAGCGTCGCTTTGCAAATGTCATGGTGTCGCGACGGGCTCACGTTGCGTTCGGGCTTGGCCGAGGAGGAGGTGGAGGAGGAGGAGGAGGAGGAGGGAGGAGGAGGAGGAGGAGAGGAAGAGGAAGAGGAAAACTGGTGGAGGCGGGGGGGCGATGAATGGCAACGGCCCGCCGCAGGAAGACGCGAGGAACGTCGCCGTCGTCCACTGCAAGGCGACGCCTCCCCGCCCCTCCTCCCTACTGCTTCCGTCTGCTCCTCCTGCTCCTCCTGCTCCTCCTGCTCCTCCTGCTCCTCCTCCTCCTCCTCCCCTCCTCCTCCTCCTCTCCTCCTCCTCCATCATCATCATCATCATCATCATCATCATCCTTTCCTCTTCCTCCTCCTCCTCTCCTCCTCCTCTGCTCCCACTGTCGGTTCCTCCTCCTCCTCCTCCTCCTCCTCATCCTCATCCTCCTCCTCGTCCTCCTCCTCGTCCTCCTCCTCATCATCAGCATCATCATCATCACCATCATCATCCTCGTCCTCCTCCGCCTCATCTCATCATCATCATCATCATCATCATCATCATCATCATCATCATCATCATCAGCATCATCATCATCATCATCATCATCATCATCATCATCATCATCATCATCATCATCATCATCATCATCATCATCATCATCATCATCCACCCCCCTCATCTTCATGCGCTCATCCTCGCCGTTGGTCCTCATCCTCGGCCGTGACCGTCACCATCGCAGTCGTCGTCGTCATCAATGGCAGCAGCAGCAGCACGCGCATCAGCAGCAGCAGCAGCAGCCTAATAATAATAATAATGATAATCATCATCATCATCATCATCATCATCATCATCATCATCAGCATCATATTTACCCTCGTCATCAGCATCATCGACATCAGCATCACCATCAGCAGCATCATCATAACATCCTCATCATCAACAACAGCATCATCACCAGCATCATCATCAGCATCAGCACCATCATCATAATCATCATCATAAGCATCATCAGCATCATCATCAGCATCACCATCAGCAGCATCATCATAACCATCCTCCTCATCAGCATCATCATCATCATCATCAGCGACATCATCATCCTCATCAAGATCATCATCATCGTCGTTGTCAGCATCGCCATCATCATCACCATCATCACCATCATCATCAACATCATCGTCATCAGCATCGTCATCATCGCCGTCATCATCAGCCTCCATCATCGTCATCGGCATCGCCACCATCGTCAACAACATCAGCATCATCAGCATCATCATCAGCAGCAGCATCATCTGCATCCTCATCATCATCATCATCATCATCATCATCATCAGCATCGCCATCATCATCGGTACACGCACCGGTATACTCATCATAAACATCACTCTAGACAGCAGCCGCAGCACCATCATCAGCAGCGTCTTCGCCGCCAGCATCAACAAAAGCAGTATCATCGTTACCACCATCACCGTCGTCATCAGCATCCTGGTCATTCCCATCATCAGCAGCAGCATCAGCATCATTATCCTGATCGCCATGTCCATGATCCCCGTCAGCACCATCAACACCGCCAACGTCACCCGAGTCATCCTCGTCGGTATCATCATCTTCACCACGCAACCCCCACCAACATACAGCAATCACCATCCCCATTGGACCGAACTCTCCACCACGACCAAGATCGCCATCACCATCAACAACAATATCAACAATCAGTTGAAGGTTGCTCACTCTTATCTGCTCACGTGACATTCAACATGATTGTCCCGAACCCTCGGTACACGCCCTCTTCGTCTTCGATCGTACCCCTTGGGAATATATTTTTCAAAACCTGCCACGTGCACTTAGTGCGGCCCCTAAAGCAGTGGAGGAAAGAACTGATGGCATGGGGAGGGGGAAGTATGCAAGACGAGAAAAATTGACAGGAGGGGGGCTAGGAGCAGAGAACACGTGAACCAAACGGGCAGATCGGGCGGGCAAACAGCGGGCGGGTCGGGAAGGCGGACCCGGGCGGGCAGGTCGAGCGGGTTGCCGAAGCGTGAGTGCCGCATGCATCGCGAAGAAGTCTCGAGCGATAGCGCTCTTCCCAAGTAAATCGTGATAAAGGCCAAAGCGAGAGCGTGATTCCTCAGTGTCGATGGCGTTGTGTCTGAATGAATTGTGAGGAAGTCCCGCGCGAGAGCGCGATTTTGGAATACATTGTGAGGACGTCTCAGGCGGGAGCCGTTGTTGTAGTGTTGTAGCCGGGGGGGGCGTCAATCCAGTTTGAGTTGGGCGACCTTCCCTGATGAAAAAGCAGGGTGCGACCCCCCGAAGGGGGGCATGTCAGCTGAAGAACACAATGTGCACCGAGCAGGGGGGAGCAACAATATTTTTCAACCATGAGATCGCACTAACAACAACAACAATCATTTTAAGTCTGTTCGTTTCATCTTTTCGGGTGCCATTCACCACGTATATCTCAAACCCTCGATACCCACCCTCTTCGTCTTCGATCGTGTCCCCCTGGGGGGCACCCTTCTTACCTGCAACGTGCATTTCGTGCAGCACCCAAGGCAGGGAAAGAGAGGACGGATGGAAGAAAGGGACAAGGGGGGAGAGGACGATGGAACACGAGAGATAGTAGCAGGAGGGGGGCTAGGAACAGAAAACACGTGGCAGAACCACACGGGCAGATCGGGCGAGTAGGCCCTAACAGGCGGGTTCAGGCGGCCAGGTCGAGCAGGCGGGTGGCTGAAGCGTGCGTCTTGAATGAATCGCGAGGAATCCTTCAGCGACAGCGCGATTCCAAAGTAAATCTCGTGAGGAGATCCAAAGCGCGAGTGCGATTCCTGAGTGTCGAAGGCGCGGCGCCTGAATCAATTGCGGGGAAGTCCCAAGCGACAGCGCGATTCCTGAGTGTCGAAAGCGCGACGCCGCAATCAATGTCCAGGAAATATCAGGCGAGAGCTCGATTCTTCGATACATTGCAACAAGGTCCCTAGCGAGAGCGCGATTCTTCAACACATTGCAAGGAAGTGTCAGGCGGGAGCCGCTGCTGCTGGAATCCAGGGCCAGGGGCACAGGTTGAGCATGAAGATCTTATTTTGTAAACCACAGCGGACCCTGGGAGGGGCACTTCAATTCCAAAAAAGCACGCGTGTCACCCGAATGCGTGAGTCCTGCATAATTCGCAAGGAAGTTTCGGGCGAGAGCGCGATTCCTAAGTCTATTATGAGGAAGTCCCAGGTGAGCGAGCGCGACTCATGAATGGCGAGGGCGTGGCGCTTGAATAAATTGCGAGGAAGTCACGGGAGCCGCTGCTGTTGTAAGCCGGCGGCCAGGGGCACAGTTTGAGCAGGAAGAGTTTTTCAATAAAAAATAGGGTGCGGGTCCTGGGAAGGGCACTTCCATTCAAAAAACACATGTTACCGGATGGAGGGGGTCAACAATATTTGTTTGTTTGCAGTGAGAGTTCAACATAAACAACAACAATAACAATAACGTCAACAACATTACCAACAACAGCAACAACAACAACAACTACCACATCATCAACAACAATCAGCTTACCTTAATGTTTTATTTTTCTACGTGCAGCATGCATCAATCATGATACCTCCCCCTCTCATGGGGGATTTGTTCCTTGCGCACGGGGGTCCGATATTCCCTCTCCCTGATCTCCCGCCCGACGAGGTCTTGACAACACTTTTTTCCGAGGCACTTCAACATCTCCAGCCCGGATTGCACATCGTTTTGGCGAGTTCCTGGCCCAGGCCTTCCTTCTAGGTATCACAGCGCCTGGGTGGCCTAAGACCTCTGCGAGAGGCCTCACACGCTCTGCGAGAGCCCCGCGGAGAGCCCCCAGAGCCCAGAGCCTCTGAGAGAAGCTTCAGAGCATAGCCCTTAAACTTTCGACCCATACCCAGGGGCCGCCTTTGCGTCGGCCATTTTCTGATGGCGCTGGGGCTCATCGTCGTCGTCGTCGCCGCCGCCGCCGCCGCTGTCGCCGCCGCCGTCATCATTGTCGTCGTCGTCGGCGTCGTCGTCGCCAGGCCCAGAAACGGCCGGGGGTCCTCGACTCGCCGAGGATGTCTCAGGCGAGGGCGACCGTTCGGGATATTGCGCCAGGTTTCGCCAGAGCCCCCCGGCACAGAACAGGAAAGCTGGCGAGCCGCCGGAAACAGCACAGGAGGCTGGCGCGAAAGCCGGCGAGAGAAGAGGCGTGCAAGAGGGAAGGAAGGAAGGAAAGGGAGGGAATGAAGGAGAGGGGGGGGGAAGGGGAAGGCTCCGGCGACCGGCGTGATAACTGGCGTGAAAGTTGGAAAGGTAGCAGGGACAGATGGAGAAAGATAGGGGAATCGGGCGAGATAGAAAAATTGGAGAAGGTGCGGGAAAGCTGGCGGACAATAAGAAAAGTGAGGGGGAGAGGAAGAAAAGAGGGAGAGACAGGACGACGACCACGACGACGACCACGACCACGACCACGACGACGACCACGACGACGGCGGCGGCGTCGGCGGCGGCGGCGACGACGACGGCGACCACGCCTCGATCCAGGACGCGAGCGAAAGCGAGGTCGGGCGGAGCAGGCGCACGGGCACGATAGCGCATCCAGGGTGTCTAGCCAGAATTCGAAGATTTGTTCGATAGTGGAGGTTCAACAGGGACTAGGGAAGCCCCAGGGCCTCCTGGGAGTATCGAATAAAAGCAGAGGAAGTATCGAGCGGGAGCGTCGTTGTTTGTAGGGGGTCCTGAGGCGGGAGCGCCGGTCCTGAGGTGAAAAGCAGGGAAGTATCGAACGGGAGCGCCGATCATGTTGGAAAGTCGGCTTTGGGGGGCGGGCAAGAGCCCTGGCCCCGACTGAGAAAGGAGGAAATATCGAGCTGGAGCGCTGTTGTCGTTGGGGGGCCGGTTGCGGCGCACCCCCGAAACGTCCGAGCGTGACCTTGAGTTGCGTTGGAGACGCAGCCGGCGTCTAGGCGAGAGCGCGAAATCACGCTCTGGGTGTCCAGCAACAGCAATTGCTTAGTAGTAAGAGTTCAACCGCGGTAACAATATCAGCAACCGAGGCAGCAGCGACAACAACAACAACAACAACAACAACAACAACAACAACAACAACAACGACAACGACAACGACAACGACAACGACAACGACGACAACGACGACAACGACGACAACAACAACAGCAACAACAACAACAATCTTCAGTTTAAGACTGT